CAGCTACTAGGGTTAGGGGGGTTATGGGTATGTAGCCCATGAACCAAGAAAAAAACTTAGCCTCAACACTTAAGATTTTACCATTAAACCAAGCAATGGAGCCAATAAGCCCCTAAGAACTGTGACATGGCATAGGTTTTAAATCAACCCAATTGTAACCCAATCTTCAAACCCAGTATACGTCAAAATTGTAAGGCAACATCGGTGTGGAAATTTTCTGGATCGGGCTCAGTACAAGGTCCCCTCCCCCAATCCATACTAGATGTTCATATCATTGGTATATATTTTCCTGCCATAGATCATATATGAAAGCAAACAAATGTATACATGCATTCCATTGTATTCTGGTACAGGATACTGATTCAAAGATGTATCAGTTTGATCTAGGAATGCATCCACAGAATCTACTTTAAATTTAAATGGTTCTCTTTTTTGGGATGCAGAAATGTACTGTGACTTTGTATCCATATCCAAATTCAATTGAAAACTTGGGTTGATTATTGATTATATACATACAGGCACAATAGGAGAGTGTTGACATAAATGCATTAGATCAACATTGGAACGTGACTTAAGCGACAAAGTATCACAGATATATAGACCAATATATCAAGAACTTGAATAAGCCCATTAACCGGCCCAGTGCTGTCGGCACTAAGCCTTGTTTGCCCGTTGCCCCACCTAACTCAGCCAAATAAAGGAATTTGGAGGCTTGGCTTTGGGAGTCTGGATCTCCTGCATTTCTATTTAGCCTGTGACAGATGCCCCAATATTACATTCATACTGAATGTAGGTGCAAGAGATCCAAACTCCGATCCTGGGCCCGCCAATCTAGACCATCCACCAGATGACAACCTCTTGGTGGGCCATGCGCTTGACTCTCACAATCCACATCAGCAACAAGACAAGTTACATTGGAGCTTTTCTGGATTGATATTATCTCTTCAAAATTTTCAATAAAGAGGACCAAATTTGAAGACAGGGTAAGGTATTTGAGGCTGAAATTTGTTCTATGGGTATTGGGTGAGGAAAGGAACACACCCACACACACTGAGCTCCAACTAATTTGTGACATGGCAGATTCCTGCATACTTTGACAGAAGCAGCAGTTTCTACATAGTAAAGGCATATCAGACATGATTTGAATTTCAAGTCTCAACATCTAGGGGGCCCATTTAGGTTAGTTTTCAGAATTCCCTACATGCGCCCATAATATGAGGCCCATTTAACTTTTTAAACTTTTAATCAATTAATATGGATTAGCTTGAGATGGAACTAGTGTCTTATGCCAATACACAGTGGGGTATGGGATTGGGACCTGTAGCTAAAAGTTCTAAAGTGGGTTTCCTTTAGTTTGGCGGCCAATGCTAACTCTTCCTACTCCTCATACAATGGGCGCCTCATTGCTTCAAAAACCACGTTAATGTTCCTGTGTAAGGCCTTTCATGCATATGCCCCTACATTTTGATGAATTTACCTTCCATACATCTTTTTCAAAGTTGACATTTATATGCAAATACATGGTCTGTTAGTAAAATCATTTAGACAAAAAGCAATTATCATGAAATCCAAAGTACAAACAACATTTTGAGGCCGAAAAGGGCTCCACTTATTCAGCTTTTGGCACAGTATTGGCAGTATTAATTGTATCCAAGAAACAAGCTTTTTCTATTGGCAGTTCTTAAGAGTAATAAATTTGGAAATTTCAAGAGGATGACATTTGTACATGACTTGAGGAAAAAGCCAATATAAGGTGGATTATAGGTATGGAGAATGGGGCATTGACATTGACATGGATCTGTATGTAACATCAAAGACTCCAAGTCAGATCTGAGTCTAATGATAATGTTTGTTCATGCGTCCCAAAACAAATTCAATTATGGGTAGATTCAATCCAATCCAAACTAATTATAGCCCTACTCTCTACCCTTAATCAAATTGAGGGTTTACATTCATACATATATGTATGCATGCATGAGTGTATAGCATATCTATATATAGATACACACAATTCTCTTAATGGAGTCATGTGAAAAACTTCACTTGACACACCCAATATTTTATGGATGTAGCAGTTGTTTTTGTTTTGAAAAACAAAAGCATTTATACTAGCTAACACCTCCTTAGTTTCACACTTCAAGATCAGAAGACTCGTTCCAAAAGTTTTATGAGACTTGCCTACCGAGTCCAGACTCCCTGGATGGTAACTTAATTTTATGTATAAAAAAAAAAGAAACTAATGAAATGGTCCAACTGAAACACATGGAACAGGACCTTTAAAACAAAAACTATTTTTTAGTAAGCTTCTATTCCTGATGTTATGAATGAGAAAATACTATTAAACTGAAACATTAGATATATAAGTTATGCATGCTAGTGATTAAATGTTATATATGTATGTATATGTAAATGTATAAAGTATCTGGTTTGGCTCATTTTTGCTGGGTTACCCTACACAGAAATCCTTAAGTCAACCTTGTTAAGGCTGTTTTCAATTGGGTTGACATTTTTGAACCCTAATCGTAACCCAATGTCTGACCCTATCCAACATGTCTTTTTCCTTTTTATCTTCTTCCGGTGGTGGGTGAGTTGGTGTGTGTGCCCATGTGCCTGTTGTTGTTTGGCCATTCCCATTCTGATTGAGCCCCAACCAAATTGCATTAATTCTTCCAGCTTTTAAGAAAATTTGTATAACAGAAAGGGTGAGTACCTTTCATCAAACACAGGGATATTCAAGAAATATATAAAAAATAAAAAACAGTAAAACTTCTGTTGATAACAAATACCAGACAAAGAAGAAAACAGAACACCATTGTTAGTCTCTACTAAGAAATAACAGTCTGGTCTTGTTCCTAACCAAACTCTAAATAGGATGTGAAGCCCATGACTAACAATGGTGTTTTGTTTTCTTCTTTGTCTGGTATTTGTTATCAACAGAAGTTTTACTGTTTTTTATTTTTTATATATTTCTTGAATATCCCTGTGTTTGATGAAAGAAGCTTCATACGTTCAGTGAAATAGCTAGCTGGAAATGGATTCCGTGAGGTGATTGAAAGCTGATATAGGCATAAAGTCAAGTTCATCAACGTGTCAAAGAGCTAGCAGTGATGCGTAGCGCGCGCTGTGATCAGTGAAAGTAGTTGGCTTAAGATGCAAATACAATACATGGAGTTGGACTCATCAAAGCGCGTAGTTAGATCTATATCACACAAAGGAAATTGACTTTGACTAATAAGGACAACAAATTTAATTGTTAGGAGTTTGTCATCAACTGCATTAATCAAGAAGAGATTATATATATATCAAGAACCAGACAATGCCCACCATCAAATGAATCCAAACTCATAAAGCTTCAAAGCCAAAGCATTTTATACATGCATCCTCTTGTTGTACTTTTGTCATTCCACCATAATATTATTTTATTGTCAAATTGCTTCTTATTACCTCTGAATTCAATGAGCTAGGGTGCGCTAGCCTGAGGTAATGCTTATTGATGTTGGGTTAGAATTCAATACACCACTTCAACAGTTTAACATACACCCATATATAGTTTCCACCTTGTCTTAATTAAGCATGAAACTTCAGAATCCCATCTCTAGCACGGCCGGATTAAGAGCTAAAAAATGACGCCCGGCCGATGTGGCGGCACCGTCATTTGAATTGGCACCTTGTGCCTTTGTTATGGTGATATGTGCATGTACCTATTGCACACGAAAGGGTTGCGAGTAAATGATAAAATCAGTTGAAGTAGACTGTTTGTCTTGAGTTTAACTTCATCTAGATGATGGTTTGACTATTATTGAGTTGGGGTGTAGTTTAATAGTAAAGAAATCAACACCTCTTAATTAAAACCAGGCATGCAAGAGATCCCTCAAATTTCGGCTCCAAAAGCTTATTTTAATGGAGGATTTGGTTAGAAGTTCCAATTGTACTTAAGTCAAATAATAAACATTCTTAGAAACCAAGATGGGGAATGATTAAAACTAACCAGTACTGAAGCTTTTCTGTGATGTTTCATTGCTCCTTAGCTTGATTACGGTCCATCATCTAGGCTAGAATAAAGGGTACTTTTTAACCATCTCAGTTCTGGGTCTGGACCTGCAATAAGTTGAGATAACCCTAATGGAATGTGGCTGACCCATATCGGCACAAGGATGAGCTGCCCTTCTAACAGTGATGATTGATGAAAACATCTGTCCACATAAAGTACTGCATCATTTATGAGCTTCAAAAAGGCATAATGCAATTAGCACATCTATTCTCTTCTAACTAACACTTCTTAATAAGGCTAAGTCAAGCTTACGTTACATGACATAATCAATTCACTAGTCAACCAGAGGAAGATTTTCATCTTGTTATGAGGGGATGTCCTTTTAAGCTTTAACTACTGTTGATTTGAATTCCTTCTCTCTCTTTTTGGGGGAAAATCCACTGTTGATTGCATTTAAATCCCTTAAAAGTCCAAACTATTTTATTTCTTTGCAAGGGATGTCGAAACTCGGAGGGATATTCCATAAGCCTGAATTGTGAGTAATATAATCCTTGACTAAAATAGAGGTTGAAAGTAACTCATTACTGTAACTGGGTCGGGCTGAAACTAAGTCAACCATGATAAAATTAAAATTCATTTTCACAAAAAGTTGCCAACATTTGGCTTTAGTTAGGAACTGACGACTTTCATTAATCCATTGTTTGCTTGAATTCGAATAATGGCTCGGTCAAATACATAAGTTTATATAAGGAAGAGTCTCAGGAACTTTTAGCATTAAACCAATCATCCAAAGGGATCGAATTTCTAGGAAATTTTATAGGCCAAAAGACATGAAAGCAACTGTATATATTATAGATTTCAACTGATATACAGTATGCGGAGGCTAATACAGTTTACCAAATGGGCCTTTCTTCTTTCTAAGCTACGTAATCCCAAATTGCAGTAGAAAACAAAGGGAGGAAGAAAGAGAAAAGAACTACAGTACAGAGAGAGAGAGAGAGAAGGTTTCCTATTTTCCTTCTATCTCCCTTTTCTCCATGAAACCATTTATTCTCTTCAGTGCAACTCCTAGTGTCTGCTTGCTCATGTTAGCGAAACACACCCTAAACCAACCTGGCTCCGAACAGTGGAACGAAGAGCCTGGAGATATATTCAGTTTCACTTCATGCAAGATTGAATTCCACAGAGCCAATTCACCTTCTCTTGTGGGTGTCTCCAACAATGGGCTCAAATTCATCCAGCAAAACAACCCGCCATTCCCTTTCAGGCACTCGATTCCGGCCTTTCTCAACCCTTCAACGATCAATTCATATCTCTTCTTCAGCCTCTCTCTATTAGTCTGTATGTAGTTCTGAGTGAACTGGGTGTCCGACAACATGGAAGCCAGGAGACGTTGAGTTTGGGAGGAGACCAAGCAGAAGCTAGACATCCTCCTTGCAGTTGTCACAACCCGATCGTTGTATGAATATATTGCCCCAACTCTGAAACCGGGAAGGCCAAGATCTTTGGATAGACTATAAACAATGTGAACTCCCTCTGAGTTTTTGAATTTCCGAGCCTCGATGATTTCTGTAATGCTCGTGAATTCGGACGAGGAGAAGACAGAGCCCGAGTAGATTTCATCTGATACAAGGTGGATGTTTTTGCGTATGGCGAAGTCAAGAATCTCTTCCAGCACTGACCGTTCTACTGTCACACCTAATGGGTTCGATGGATTTGTTATCAGAAGTCCTCGGACCTTAATGTTCATGGCTTCCGCTCTACCGTATGCTTCTTCTAGAGCCTCGGGAGTGATCCTGTAATTATTTGAGCTGTTGCAATGAACGGGAACAATCTTGACGCCAGTTCTCCACCTGAGATCTCTACCGAATCTGATAGACAATATAATTTTCACCGAAAATATTAGTTCAGAGATATAGAAACAGATTCAAATAACTCAATAAAGAAAAATTGAGGATCGGAGGTCCCTTTCGTTCTTACCCTGGATAGTATGGAGTTGGAATTAGTAAGGCATCCCCAGGATTTGCTAGAACGAAAGCCAGTAGTTCATTGGCTGCTGTTGCGCCTGCTGTGAGGACTATTCTCTCGGGGTCAAATTTTGCTCTTCCTCCTCTTATCTGTTCCATGAAACCTGCCATTGCCTATGTAACAGTGGTACCCAGAATTAGCATTCTATTTTCTTACTCCACCTGATCTTGTACTTGAAAATTAAGGATCAGACAAGCATGAAGGGGTTACCTTTCTGAAATCATCGAGTCCATGGTAATCCTGGAACAAAGCGTTCTCTGTAAAGCTAGAAACTCCATTACCCCAGGTACTCGCTTCTGGGTGCTGTTCCAAGTATTCTTCCAGTAAATCAAAGGAAACCTATTCAAGAAAGAAACAGAATGATCGTATACGCTGAGTCTGATTATTAAACTGCTAATACTGTAATATACATCTTCTCTTTAATTATATACTTACTTGGTTTTCTGCCAAACCCATCTGTATGACTCCTGATGGGTTCTTCAGTTCATCATATGGGTCTTCATTATATGCCTTCCATCCTGCAAAGTATGGAGAATTTTCTCCATGAGTTTCGGAAACTGAAACTGTTGATAGCTCAACAGGTGGTTGCTCAATTTCTATGGCCATAACTGGCTTTCTGCAAAGAAAATTGTTTATCTATGAAGAATGAGTGCAGTGAAGAGAAGTGCTCTGAATGAATACGGGGTCGAAGTAGTGGGGTATATATAGGAAATTTTAGACCCAAAGTCTTCTCATTTTACTTGAAGATAATTTTTATCTATGTATGTCTTCTCATTTAACTGTTTGTTTCATTCTCTCTCCATCTCCACTATTTCTACATCAAAAAAAAAGCTGCTGGTATACATAGTATAATTTGGTGTTAATCCCCTCTTCTATTTCAAGGCCAACAGTTTTCCTATACATCCTCTTCGACTTATTAGAGTATAAGTTTTACAGTTGTCTGTTTTCTTTAATGGTGGATTGGTGGTTGAGCGTTGAGTTTTCCTCCTAAAGGTCCCCGCTTTCAAAACTCTGGTTCATTAAATTCTTAGAATAACCAAAGTCTAAAAATTCCTCAGAACACAGTTGGAAGTTACCAACATGCTTGAAGAATTTGCGATGGTAATGTTTGAAGAGATCAAAGAGACATGACAAGAAGTAACAAGTTGCGGAATACCAAAACTCTCCCATTTACCAAATCATTGAAGACAAAAGAGAAGTTGTGGGAAGATATGCTGGTCCCAGTTTCGTAGCAAGTCCAGGCTACAGGTGTTCCAAGACTTTTTAAGGATATAGCATTCGTAATAAGTTAAGTCAAATTCGTTGATGGTTGGGTTAGGTTGGGTTTGGGTTAGTCCAACCCAAATGGGAATTAGGTTGGGTTAGTCCAACCTTAAGTTCTAAACCCCCAACCCTAACCCTAACCCTAACCCAACCAGACTTTCAACCCACCTACCCAACTCTAACACTAACCCTAACTAAATACCTCCAACCCAAAGTTTCGGGTTGGGCCCAACCCAACCTTCTTCCCATCCCTTAAAATCTTGTAGAACTTCTTAACCTAAGATCTTAACTCTATTTTCACTACATATATTTTATTAGTATTTGTTTGTTGATATTTTTATTGGTTCTCTAAGTACAAGATTTAGAAAAAAAAAAAGGTGTTTGAAATGACTATAGTTTATTATGAGTTATGACTTATAATAAATCTTTTATAGGCAACAAGCTATGGGTGGCAAGCAACATAGAGGAAATAAAGAATAAAATATTCAAAAAAAGCATAAAATATATTATTAAGGTTTTAGTATTTCCAATTAGGATTAAATGAAGTGATTATCTTAAAAGAAATAAATGATAGTATGTGTTGGAGGCTATACGACTATCATACATTTAAACAAATCAATGTATGATATTATATATATATATAATATATTTATATATGATATGTACTACAGAGTCGAGTTCAGGTTGGGTCTGGTTACCTGAGGGATCAACCCTAACCTAACCCAAAGTAAAGTCAAATTCATAAATTTCAACCCTAACCCTAACCCGACCTTTTCGGGTTGGGTTCGGCCCAACCTGGCCCAAATTGCAGCCTTAAATAATACTGATGATGATGATGATGTGTTCTGATATGGGCAACATGGATTTATTTATAGATGTATGCATGTGTGATTGTGTCATGTATTCACACGGGCATCGATCCATGAAAATAATGCGTTAATGCAATCCTCATGATGCACATGGACTTAGATTAATGTATAACCACATTCCCAGCATATGTATTATTCCACCAATAATCGATTCATCATCTATTGGGATTAAATTACGGATAAAAAATCAGTAAAGAAAAGAGAATTAATAAAAAAAGGGAATCTCCACCTATCATAGCTAGGATTGTATTATTTGCAGAGCCTCACCCCAACGTACCAAGTTGTTCTTTAGATGCTAGCCTCTGCCTGCAGCTCAAGTTCATGAAGGGCCATATAAGATTTGCCATTAATTTGCTGCATCAAGAAACTAATTGAAGGGAAAAAGAACATTGGAAGAGACAAGCATTAAACCATGGTCTTCGTTGGGCATGAAGATTGAATCGTTTTGAATTAAGATTATTATGGACGAAATGCGGTGATGACTTTCATATAAATGGTATAACCCCGAATCGTTGAATTTGAAGCATGAAGTGATTAGATTAAGACCCTTATGATCCTCGAGGTTCAACCCTGTAAAGTATTGCATATATATATATATATATACAGGAGAGAGAGAGAGGTAGTATGCCTTTCTATCAAATATACTAATATAATATGAAGACTGCCTTCAGACTAAATGTCCACCACCAAAGATAAAAAGAAAACCCAAAACTACTAGTGCTCTTTATAAGTGTCTTAGGTATCTTAATTAATTAATGAGGTTTATATAGAATGCCATGAATAGGGTTTAGATGATATAATCTGATGATAATTAGCTATAAATATTTCAATGGCATTGGTGGATTGGAATGACCAACTCCTAGATCCGATATCATGGCATATGGGGCCTGCTAAATGGATTCTGTTTTGCCACATTTGTAATGTCGTTAAAGTCTTGATAGTAAGTGCATGTTGCGAAACATAAAAATATGAATCAAGGAAAGGAAAAACAGGCTGTCAGTTCAGTTCGAACTGTTGGACCGTTAGACCTGGGAATCGGACCTCTGACTGCTTTGTTGTTCAATTCAATTTTAAAAAATTTGATGTAAATGTAAATTACTGGATTACTGAAAGAAGTTCTCCAATCAGCATCTATTGCAAAATGGTTTGCACCAAGGTTTTTAAAATCGATTCAGACAACGAACCAGTCAAGGATCCAGTTCCCGAGTTGAATGGTCTGATTGTTAATGAATAGATGGCCTATTCTGACAAAAAAAATAAAAACCGGCCAAACCGTTGAATGGTTCGACCGCCCAAATCAGCGATTTACTAACTAAATCAACAATTCCAGAAAAAATAACTAAAACAAAACCAATCACCTGACAGATTCCTGATTTTTCAGGTCCAATCCATATTTCAAAACCATGATTTGCACTCACGAGTCATGGTTAATCTTTTGGGAAGCAGTAAATATGTTGTAATTAAAGATGTAGGGCAGATCCTTGCCGGTCGAGGGACAAACAGCTCATTAATATTGAAGCGAGTTGGCTACAGGTTTGATAAAAGACAAATATCTGGATTGTGCAACAAGTTGCATTCATCCTATAAATGTGATGGTCGGACGGTTAGTTGGTTGGTAACTTTCATTAATCAACAAATAATTCGCAATTGGAAGTCAAAAACGAGCAATCTATTTGCATGTAAGGATGCACGTGAGTTCAAATTTGGATTCAAAATAGACCCAAAATTGGACCCAAATTTTTTTTGGGGTGAAATGTCTTAGCCTTATTTCAAGTTTTCAACCCTTTTTATAGTTGAAAAAAAAAATCGTTTTCCACCCATTCTGTTTTGGTGCTGGAACTTATAGAAACAAGATGTATAAGACAGGCTAATAACACCGAAACAGAACTAAACATCTTCTAAGGATAAATATAGGAGATGTTCTCAATGCATGCTAAGATGCACATGCGAGGCACTGGTGTGATTTCATAACTTACATGTTTACTTTCTGATTAGGTAGGTGTTTGGCACAAATTAGTACCGTTACCAAATGTGTAGTAGCTTAGAATTCAAATCAGCCCCTCACAAGATTGCCCCCCACAACATCTCACAGCATATTCCCACCGTGTATTCGAACATCTCTCAATGATGACATCATCATTTCTGGTATCATCATCAGGAGATGTTCACATTACATGGTGGAGATGTGCTGTAGGACGTTATGGGGGGGCAATCTTGTAAGGGGCTTACTTGCTTTCAGTAGCTTACATGTTTACTTCTGTTTAGGTAGATGTTTGGCACAGTGGCAGACGTTGCATCTTGAGTTGATCAATACAAATCTGTGGAAGACATTTTTCTATTTGAAATGTTTTGAAAACCTTTTGAATTGATCAGATTTATTTCTAACAATAACACTAAATTTGATATTCATTTTTCTAGTTTATGATGTGGCAATACATATTTTTCACAAATTTATATATAACCCAAAACAAAATGGCAATGCAATGCCACTGTATCAAACACCCCTAGGTGTAAAACGATAATACGATCTTGAGATTTGCACTTCTATGCCTAATAACAAAATTTGCACTTATTAGACGGTACGAATTTATACCCTCTCCAACATTTTGCTTTAAAAACTAATGCAAAATTCCCACCACCTTCCTCCAACATTATACCCTCTCATACAAAAGCAGGAACCACATCATTTTGACTCCTACCTTACTTCTCCCAAACAAACAACCTTTTTCTTATGCTTCCATTATCTTTTATATAAAATGAGGACCACATAATTGTACCTTTCTCACCATCAAACAAAATAAAGTCAAATATGAAGCAAAAGTAAACCAAAACTATTGTATTTGATTTGAAATTTATAAATAATTTAAAGATACTAGTATTAATTGGCTGTTTACCCTAAACTGTTTATTCATGGGCATCTCTACCTATTGATTTAAGATTGACCCATGATGCATTAAAATAAATAAAATCTTTTCTCACGTTTTCTGCTCAAGTTTCAATCTAGTTAGTTGTATTTTTTATTTTTTGAAATTTTATCTAGTTTAATTAAGTGTATTGGAACCAAAAGAAAATTTATACTTTTGAGCTTAATGTGTCAAAAATCACTTTTATGTGGCAATCTCCCATCATTGAGCTTAATTATTGTTCTTCTCCTGATATGTAAATTGTTACAATCATTAGTTTTACTAATATTTATTATCATGAAGGTTTCTTAATTAGGGACATTTCCTATACGATCTATTCTATCTCAGCCACATGAAGGAATCTTGTGGTCTAACTTAGATTATTCATTAGATGGAGGACCCTTTGATTGGCCATGTGGTGAATCTTACTATCCATATGTCGTCAGCCCTATTTAAAACCATCAATTTGAGTTTTGTTTGTTTAATTAGTATAACACCCCTCTTGCTAAATTTGAATATTTTTAATTTAAAGTTCATAAAAGGTCGGGTTAGTACTATTGTACTGGCCTAG